GGTGAAGAAACCTAATTTCAGTATTTTTTAATTCTCCTTGATAAAAAAAAATTAGATATTCCTATAGTGGAAAACGTGTTTTTTTTTGGACAGCCCTATGATCCTAGTATTACTCCTATGCTTCCCTCGGAGTAAAAATAACAAATAATAAACACTAACCTGCATTTGCACAAAGCATTCTGATTATGCATTTCCATATGTCTGGAATATGCTACCGATGTATCACATCGGAATGAGCATCTCACACATGAATGCTAAAAAATCTCTTTGAATGTTGAAATCTTCCTTTCGTGAAAGTAATGTCTTACCATTTTATCGCTTTTCTTAGCCACTCGTTTGAATTTTGTTGCTCTTTTGTTTTCCTCTTCAACTGCAGCACGTTTCATTTGTGTGACTAGTCGTTGTTGAATATGCTAAGAACAAAATTTTCAGAGCAGTAATTCAGACAACTACTGGAATGAAAGTAATTATACAGGCAAGCGAAAATTAGTTCTTAAAAGCAAATAGTGAGAAGCAAATGATTGATTTTAACTCCAAAGATCAACGCCACACTCTTCTCACTACTATGCTTCGCGAATTTAAAATTTATACATCCACCAGACTGAAAAAGCACCTTTGAAAAAGTGATACCTGTGCATGTTGTTGTCTGTGTTGTACAAAGTTCGCTTCGCTGACCGTACGGAATGAGCACTGAGAGCAGGAAAAGTGCTTGGCACCAAAAGGGATAGGATCAGAGGTCTGGAAACTACGACGGCCTAAACCACGTCTCCTGAAATAAGAAATATAGAGTTCCAATAAATGCAGCAAAGTAAACAAGATATGATATACATCTACTAATACTCGAGGAGCCTAGAAAAATATTGTCTTGAAAGTGAGATCACCCTACCTCTGAATCAAAGCACTTGCTGGACTAAGTGGTGGAAGATGAAGCGAGAGATGCCAGTGAAGAGCTTCAGCGGCAAAACAACTAAAACTGTAGAAATTTAGTAAATTCGTAGAATCAGCACTTATTTTCCAAAAAAAAAAACCGTCTCTTCCAATAACCGACTCATTTACTGCGATGGGGGAACCAAGTCTTCGCAAAAAAAATTTCAAAGATAATTTGTGATGAATTTTGTCCGGGTTTAATCTCCAAATGAACTGGACTGGGGTCTTTAAGACAATGCATAAGTTCAAAATGTATAAGCAACGTTCATACTGAATCATCAGCCAGCTATACTACTGTTGGCGAACGAGAACATTCGCCCACAAAAAGTGAGCAAGAAAAGCTGAAGGAAATGGCAAGGGAACAACCTCGACAATTCATTACAAAATCTTCAGTTATCCTCGGAAAACCACACAATAATATTCCTTTAACATGCACGGAAAACTCGACAACTATAGCACTCGCTCGTGCAACTTTAATACAACTAATAAAACTAATCGTTAGCACAACGTACCTATAATTACACAAATTGCAGGCATACGCTCTTGTACGTCCGCCATGCATTTCTCTGTGCATTTTAAATATCATTTCATCAGATTCAACAAATGGACAATCTGGACATTGCTTTCGTTCTAAAAAATGCAGATTCCTTTAGTACTCGACGGGCCATGTAGATATCTACCAGTACCTTCGTTTCTTTTGTCTCGTTTCAGCACAGGGAGGACTTCTTTGGTGGGTCGCATAAGTTTGACGGCATCTACTTTGATTGATAATGGCTTCCTAAGATCACTTCGAGTGCACACACCATTCGTGGTAAGGTGTCCATGGTCTCTGCTTCTGAAATCATAATCAGAAAATTCATTGACAAAGACTAAACTGGATATTGGCAGGCTAGAGGCATTAGATACAACTCACACTCTCTAGCAAATCCAGATATGGCGTATGATGTACAGGACACACAATACATCCATAGTAACAGTACAAAGAACGACAAACTCACTTATCCGGTGATCCTTGGGCTTTCTGTGAATCCGGGCTTGTCGACTTTTCACTTTCAGATTTCTGAATCACGTCTGCCGATGGGGCAGGACTCGGGGTGGGACCGGTATCTACGCCGCTGCATGGTTCACTATGTACCACCATGTGATCTTCTAAGCATAGTTCCGATCCAGTGCTAAATACAGTAACGGTAGGATCACCATATTGATAGAACTGTGTATTTGCGGACTCGCGGGGGAGCATCACCTCGCCGCATTGACTTCAAAATATGACCAAGTCTGTCGCTATGCAAAACTAGAAGAGTTGTAATTGGTGAATTAGCAGCGATTCGGAGGACCGGTAATGACAGATAGTTTTGACTCATAATGACGCGCCGTAGGAGCATGCGAGCCAAGCCAGTTCGTGAGTTATTGGTAAGGCAAGACTTATATAGCCAATAGAAAATACCAAGCTATCTGTCGTTACTTTCTTCACTCACCTAAACT